TGATTACCATTTATCTTAGCTGGAGAACATACTCATAGATGTCTGACAGATGGGGAGTGTATCTGAGTATTTATTTCAAATCTTTGTTTACCAATGTTAAATTTTGGAACAATTATTGTAAGCCTCTAGCTTTTGGATTTCAAACATTATGAATGTAAACTGATGAGACGTGTTGTCTTTTCTAGAAAAAAAAAATATCATTTTTTGGGGGGAGTCTCAAGAAAATTACACAGAACAAACCAATGTGCATTGCATATGTAATGTCTTGTAATTATATCTTGTCAAAAGCTCAACTTTTTTCTCCTTTATTCTTTAGAAATATGGTAATTGTCCCTTTTCCCTTGTAGTTAATTATAAATTTCAGGAAGAATTAAGTCTGTTAAATCTCTTCTTCCCCCTCCCTTGGTCTCTATGGCAGCAGCAGGAATAGAAGGGAATTTCTTTGATCTCCATTTCTGAGTGACATTTCGTTTCTTCTGAGCATTGACCTTGTTTAGTGCAACTGAAATTTTCAATAGATTTCATTAGATTATAATTTGATGATCTTAGGGAGATGTCTTTATTGAGATTGGTTTTAACTATGAAAGGAGAAGGGTCATTTGTTTCATAAATCTATGAACAGTTCTGTAAACTGAGAAAAGAAAAAGTTGAATTAACTGCTCAGGCAGATACGGTTAGGGCTTAATACTGCTGCACAGCAGTGGAGAGCTGCAGATGGAAGGAAAGGTGGAAGATACTGAACAAGCAAAAGAAAAACAAGAGAGCCTGATCCTGGCTCAATTAACGATAGTGCTGCTTAACGGTAGCAGAGCTACACATCCTTAGCAGGTCCCTTCTCTAATATTTGGAGGACCTGCATGGAGGTGGGAAGATAATTTCCTAGTGCCAAGGTGAGCTGCATTTTTATGCATTTCACATAGCTGGAGCTGACCGAATGGATTCTTTGCAAAGTCCAATAGGCCACTAAAAGCAGAAAAGATGTGTCTCTTGCCATGCATCCTCAATGTAAATATACGTTTCTTTTGTGTTTTAATCTGTTTGCTACTACCATGCAAATTTCCTTCTACTTTCCTTCACCTGAGGCAAGACTTCTGAAAAATGAGAGGATGTGTGCAGTCAAGGAGAAGGGAATGGTTATTTATGAGTGAATCATTAGGTCAGGGGTATGGCCTGGTATATGATTATATTTTACCCAGTCTGAGACCTCTAGCTGAGATCTACAATTTTCATTTCTCCAGAGAATCATCTGCATCAGAGAAAATAATTGCAAGGATGTGTAGGAGTAGCTAAGTATGTTCCGCTGGGTTTGACTTCGGCCAGCTCTTTTGCTACTGGAGACCTCACTCAAGGACTTGTATATAATTGGGAAGTCATATTCTTGGCCATTCTAGTGGCTACAAACAGCATCTCACCTGTGACTGCTTTTGACTCTGATCACCAGTATCTTCTCTGAGAAAGAATATTAAGTCAGATCTTAGGGAATGCTGCAGTTCAGTGAGCCCTGAACCTTTAGCAGATAAAATATTCCTAAATATCTTCTCTGGATTTTGTTATATTTTCCTGCAGAGCTAAGATCTGCCTCCAAATGTGTCTCCAGCCACAGTCACATTAGGCAATATTTGGCCATCCAAATTTGGTATTAATGCATATATATATATATATATATATATATCAAAAACCTCTCCCTGCCTATGAGGAAGTGGCAATAAGCTATATGTACTTGCTCTTAAAGCCCTCCAAACATGCTTAGCAGTCACTGTGGTTGCTCACACAACACAAAAGAGGAATTTTTCCTTGAAATCTTACCCAGAGCTTGCTGATGTGCAACTGCATCTCTGTCACCTGAAAACCTCTCTTGTGCTGTGCCACAAAGCTCTCGCCCTCCAATTCAATATTCAATACACAATATTTCCCACTGCAGTATTGCAGTGGGCACCGATGCCACTACTCTGCATTACATTAGTGTATCTGCAAGATACATTATACTGATGTTTCTAACCAATGCTAATAGCAGTCATTTATTTCAACACCTGACTGAGAAAAGCATGTAGGAAAAAAGCTTGCTTAAAGGTTGCATGCTAGGAAGGTAGATGTTGTGCACAGACTCTGAAGGGCTTGCAGCCTTGGTTTTGTCTTCTGAAGTTGATGCTTTTCTGTCTCCTGGTTACCTATGGGGTCTGAATTTCTGGATGCTGGATAAACCTATTGGTTTTGGAATTACATGTAACAGTGCCTCCAGAGAAGGAATTGCACTGTCTCCAACTGGCTAGGCGGTTAGCATCTCTATCTGAGTTTGGTCATCACTTCATTGCTTCCTGACTGTATTATTGCTATGCAATTTATCAGGGTTTTAAAGCATCAACCCAGAAAGCAAGCTGTGACTGATGCTGAATTCAGCAATGAGAATGGAATTATTTTTTTGTGTCCCAAGGTCTCTTTATACAAAAATTACACAAGCTGAAGATCTTACTGCGTATTTTGAAGGCTCTGATTGCATGAAGCTGTGATAAAGCCTACGCCTGGATAGCTGTGTCTATCACTCCATTAGAGCTGTCTCAAGGGTGAAGCTTAGTGCAGGAGGCTGGGTATCCTCAAAGAAAGGGAGTAAAACAAGACTGTGGGAATCACTCATTCATAAGCTATGCAGAAACAGCCTCTCTGTTTCCGTTTCAGATGGAAAACTCTTTTATTGGAACATATTCTTCCAAACAGCAAGGCAAGATATATTCTTTTTACATGCAAATATTAGTAAACATGAAAACTACAGGTAATTCTGTCCTCCCTTGAAGGCTGTCTGAAGAAAGATGATTTCAAATGATGGCTTTTCATCACTTTTCAGATTTTTAACTTTCAAGTGTAGTGGTGGACCAGGGTCTGTAGTCCTTAAGCCCACCAAACTCCTAGGCTGAGGAAAATGTTAACAATAATAATCAAATGGAATTAATTCCTTCTACGGTCTGCAAATAATTCCCAACATATTTATTCCTATGCTTACTTGTATTGCCTATGCTTGCAGAATACTTTATGTAGTCTTGACCTTTTGGGTAATTTTGTTTTAGTTGGTGTCTCTAGATGTGACATGTTGGACCTTTTGGCTGATTAAAAAAAAAAAAAGGGCACTTTTATGAAGAAAAGTATTACAAACAGTTGATATACAACCTTATTTCTTAGAACTATTTCAACTAGGTGAGGATGTAAGATATAAAAGGTATGAAAAGCATTGGTTTTTACAGAACAATACAAAAAGCAGGAATAATTCAAATAACAAATCAGCTGTAATTAAAAAAAAAATCCAACCCCAAATCCCTAAAAAGCTGTAGGAGAAAAGTGTTCAGTCCTAGCCCTTGAACTACATGCATTTCTCAGACAATACCAGTGCACTATCATGTTTTCAGCCCAGTAATTCAAATACCCAGCTGTGAAAGGCCAAACTCCGCAGGTCACCCTACAGCCGGCCCTTGTGCTGAGAAGTTGGGATCTCTGGAGAAATGGTATCAATAGGCAATTCCCAGTTACCTCTGTCTTTCTGGCCTTTGAATATGCAGCGTGTGTCTTGTGATTCTGGGCCTTGGGACAGTTTTTGTATAATCTCAAAGTCAAGAATACTTGCAGAGTATTAGCAGCTCCTGCTATGAGAGCTGGAGCTTTTATTTTGTGGATGTATCCTCTTTAAGAATGTGAGGAGTCTTTTTGAGGAGTGTCATGACAAACATTATATATGGTTACCTGAGTTTGTAAGATCAGGCTTTTCAATCAGACAAATGTTTCCTGTCCAAAGCAAATTATCAATTTTCTTGCCTTTATCTTGCCTTGGATTAAAGACTGAAGACATACAATTGTTAAAGAAAGGGAAAAGTAATTACCAATATTTCGTGCAGTCTTTTGATCAAAATTCATCTATAGTTTTATTATTTTGATAGGATTACATAGTTTGCTGTTGTGTTCATCCCTTCCTTACAGGAGATAGCACACACCTGCAGGATATTGCTGCAGTGATAGCAGTGACTTTTTCAAATCCTTTTAAGCAAGACTTTCTAAACTTTCATTTAAAGGTACAATGCTTCTTGCTTGCTAGCTGTCTTTCTGAATATTCCTTAAAGTTGTCTAAGTGAAAATATAAAAGATAACCAGTTTTCAAGGTTTGGGGAACGTGAAACTGAAACTGATATGCATAGTATTTGCTCTTCTTTTTACTTGTAAAAGTATTTAGTATTGCAATGCTTTACAAGTGTTTACTTTTTGGAAATAAAGAACAAAGCACTAATAGTACTTTGTTAGTTAATGTTCTTAAATCAGACTCAAAATTGAAAATCGTGTGAAGCCTAATCATTAGTCTTTGCAGAAGTTGCTCTCCTTTGCTCTCAGCATGGGGAAAAGAAAGGTGTAATGTAGTTGCTTCCAATATATCTGGCTCAAATGAAAGTAGAAGGAAGGAAGCTTTTTTTTTTCACATTATTTTCAGCTTCAGGAACACACATGATTACAAGAGTCCTCCAATTCAAGGAGCTAAATAATAGTTTGACTCTTATGTGAAATGCTGAGAGTAATGGTGGCAGACACCAGAATTTATCCTGAACTTTCCTTCAGGGACTCTGACCCAATCTGCTGTGCAATTCATTCTGATGGACTCCAAACCTTTGCTAAAATGTAATCGAATCACTGCAAATGCAAGGGAAATTACAGGAAGATCAGCCTGAAGGCCTGATGGTTGCATCTTGCACTGCCATGTGGAACATTAGACTTTAAATTAACCCCTCACTCTTTTGGTTCTGCAAAGTTTCAGGGAACTGCAGGACTCTTGGGTACTTGCTCCATGTCCTCCAGGGGCCAATCTGGGGAGTAAGCAGAGCGTTCTGCTCAGCAAAGAAACACCCTGAACATTTGGGAGAGGCTTACTCCTCCTGGAAAATCACCCCGGCGTGGTTCAGGCTGCACCTATCACTGGTTCAAAGAGGACATAATGGAAAAATGCAGCCTGTCATGAAGTGGGGGGAAAAGAGCCAATCTCTGCCTAAAGCTCCACTGTTCTCTGAATGCTCCAGTGGGGAGGAAAGCCAGATGGCACACGCTTGGGGTTCAGAGTGGATGAAGGATATGTTCACCCACATAACTGAGAACTTCAAAGCAAAATTAATGGTCGAGGCCTTTTTGGTCCTGCGAACTGCAGATTATTATCCCTACATGACAGTGGAAAATGACTTTGTGAGGTGTAATGCGTACTAGCAAACTCCTAGATGCTCCATCTGGAATGGAGTCCATTGTGCCTAGCGATTGCAGCACATACTGTGTTGTGTATAATGCCATTTTCACTTATTTGCAGCAGAGCCATGGCAGATGCCCATCCCACAAATGCTCAGTCGAAACACCTGCCTGGATACCCATTCAGCACTCTACCGTAAGTTTGAGCCTTTTAATACAAAGATTTGAGAGACTGAATGGTAAGTCTCTGTGTTTGGAGCAGCCCTGTCGGGTAAAATTTCCATACTCACTGCATTTGAGAAAGAACAGAAACGAGTCCTGAGGCCAGACCAAACTCCTTGGGAAGCCTGAGCTGTTGAAATGTTGGATAGTGGCTTAGCAGGGCTTCTCCAGAAATTCAGGCTCTTCGGGAGTTTAATTCATTCCACATGGAGCAATGGGGATCAGTGGCAAGCGTGGTATGGGTGGTGGTGGTGTCCAGCCCAGAGGAGTGTGGAGTTGCTGTTGATTGCTATAACTCTGGACTCCAGCTGAGTGTGATGACTGGGAGCCTGCTAGTTTTGCCTGGTCACGGGCACAGTTTGTGGGAATTCATTCATAAGCTGCTGCAGGGTCTGCCAGAAACGGCTGACGTTTAAAGCACCAGGCTGTCCCCAGACCCAGGTGGTGACATGAGGAAGGGGAGACGCTTCTTTTCTTTTCCACATTCTTATGGAAGAAAGAAAGGCTGACGATTCCAAGTGCTTTACGGACTAATAAGTGGGAAAATTTGCCCAGTGTAGGTAACAACAACTTTTGGGATGATGGGCAGTGAGTGAACTTTAGTCTGCTGGGTTTATAGGAAATGACCTTTGTAAGTGTTTTCCTCCTCCTGCCAATTAGATGACTTCAGTGAGATTTGCTTTTAACTATCAAAGACACTGTAATATTTGAAGAGAAAAAAGAAACTGCGGTCAAGTTGACACTGCATTGATTTATATCTTGCCTGAACATACATTGTAGATAGAGCCAAATCCTTGGATGCTGGAAGTTAGAGGGCTGACTAATAGAGCTATGATGATTTATCTCAGCTGAGGAGTTGGCAGGATTTAGTTGACATTTTCTTTGGCTCTGGACCACAGCATGATGTTGGTCCACAGCTATCAGCTTGTCACCTTTTATGAGTAGATGAATGTAAAACAAATTCAAGTTTTCGCTCTCCCTCAGTCTCTCGCTAATCTTGCAAGTGATTGTAAACCCTGTGGTTTTGGTTGTCCTTACAATATATTCAAATGAATTATATCATTGTTGATCTGTACTAAAATAAACCCACTTAAAAGTATTGATAGAACAGTTGAGCTGAACAGTTTTTTACCAGGTAAGGTTCTAGCCCAGTAACTAATTAGTAATTTTTCTTAATTATTAGTTTCCATTCTCAAAGGCTTTGGATTGACTTTGTGATGCGGTCTTGGTTTTTGTTTATATTGAGAGGGTTGCAGCATGAGCACAAGTATGGTAGTGTGGTGCTTTGAGAAATGGAAATGTACTGGGCATTTGTAGTAATGCCCAGGAGCAGTTGCACTCAATTTCCACTGACACCAAGACCTGACTTTTCATAAAGTGGCTTTAAATGGTTTGGGTATTTTTTAGGATATTTGTTTCTTAAACCATCAAAAATAAAAGCATGTAGCTTGAGTGTTCTTTGTCTCTTGTCACACCAGGTATGTGTGCATGCATAGGTAATAACTATAGACCTGCTGTCTTGCAAATTTCTATGTTGCCACAAAAAATGAAAAGCTGAGGATTGAGCTTTGTTGTCTTTGTTAGCACTAGAAATGTTGTAAGATCAGAATATTTCCAAGAAGTATTATTTTTAAACTGCTAGAGTGGAAACTGGTTCTGGGACCAATACTAGTTAATATCTTAATTGATAACATGGACAGTGGGATCGACCGCACTCTCAGCAAATTTGCAGATGACACCAAGCTGAGTGGTGTGGTTGATACACTAGAGGGAAGGGATGCCATCCAGAAGGACCTTCACAGGTTTGAGTAGTGCGCCTGTGCGAATGTCATGAAGTTCAACAAGGCCAAGTGCAAGGTCCTGCACGTGGGTCAAGAGAATCACCAGTATTAGTACAGACTAGGGGATGAAGGGATTGAGAACAGCCCTGAGAAGGACTTGGGGATACTGGTGGATAAAAAATTGGATGTGACCCGGCAATGTGCACTCGCAGCCCAGAAAACCAATTGTATGCTGGGCTGCATCAGAAGAAGCGTGGCCAGCAGGTCGAGGGAGAGGATTCTGCCCCTCTGCTCCGCTCTGGTGAGACCCCACCTGCAGTTCTGCATCCAGCTCTGGGGTCCTCAGCACGGGAAAGACATGGACCTGTTGGAGCGGGTCCAGGGGAGGGCCGTGAAGATGATCAGAGGGATGGAACACCTCTGCTGTGAGGACAGGCTGAGAGCATTGGGGTTGTTCAGCCTGGAGAAGAGAAGGCTCTGGGGAGACCTAATTGCAGCCTTCCAGTAGTTAAAGGGGGCTTATAAGAAAGATGGGGACAAACTTTTTAGTAGGGCCTGTTGTGATAGGACAAGGGGTAACAGTTTTAAACTGAAAGAGGGCACGTTTAGATTGGACATCAGGAAGAAATTTTTTACGATGAGGGTGGTGAGACACTGGAACAGGTTTGTGGTTGCCCCATCCCTGGAAGTGTTCAAAGTCAGGTTAGATGGGGCTTTGAGAAACCTGGTCTAGTGAAAAATGTCTCTGGCATGGCAGAGAGGGGGTGGACTAGATGATCTTTAAAGGCCTTTTCCAACTCAAACCATTCTATGAGTCTATGAAAAAAACCCAACTACTATTAGAATACAGTTCAATCATTCACTTAGTTGCCTTTTTTTTTTTTTTTGATTGTAGAGTACAATATGTGGTCCTTGACTTAATTGCGTACTTGGAGCTTGCTTCCATCTATATTTTGCTTGATTATAAAAGTTGAATGGAGTGAAGGAGCTCAGCACACTACCCCACAAATATGTTGTAATTCCCAAATACCTCCTGCTTTTTTTTTATGAAACCATTTTCTATGCAGCCAAACAGATTTTTCTGTCTAGCTTATCTGTATCAGATATTTATAAGCATTTCTTACCATACTTCAGTAGATTTCTTTTCTTGGGAGACTAATGCAGACAGTTGGGGAAAATTAAATCAGACAGAAATGAACTTCTAGGTGGTCAATGTTTTTCGCCATGTGATTTCAAAAGTGTGTTTTAACTGCCTTGATTTTATCAGAGAAGAATATCTGTGAAATGTCAACATTTTGATAGAAAGCTGATTAATGAAATGAAAATTTCCAGTGATGCATCAGAACATAATACCTGCTATGAAAGGCTTGAAAGATCAGAAAAGAAAAAAACCAGAGATCTGGCCAGTTGTGACAACTCCATTATATGACCATAGTGTCTGTAGGGATGCCTCTCAATAGCGGTATAGGGAACAGTGTCAAATAATGAAGGAAAACCAAACTGGTAGAAAGGGTATCCTCTTTCATCAGTTTTGCTGCCTATGTCACTCAGGATGGCATAAGTCTGGGCTAGGCTTTTCTCTCCTTTTCCAGCATTTTTTTATAAAAAGCACTGTGTCGTCTCTTGGGAGCTCCTTTCCCATCTAATGCAAGAACCGGGAGATCTGGCAGCATTGCTGTTATGTAACAGTCTGACTTTTGCAGTCCCTAATTTACCATCCTTTTTGAATTTGCTGATGATTCTTGCAATTAAGATTCTCGATTCTGTTTGGCAACTCACCATCTGCAAAAGAGGGCATAAGTGAACACTGCCTTTCTGTGCCTTCGCAATGTCCTTAATTAGATTCATTTCAAGTCTGAGGGTTTTAATCAAGGGAATTACCTAAGGGTGGCTTTGTCTGCACTTGCACTTTTAGTCATGTCTTCCGAAGGATTTGTAGTGTTTGATTATAAAATACTCCAAAAGGAGTTCGCTGCGCTGCTCTTTAGCATACTAAACCTTCCTACCGCTGGGGTTGCTTGCTAGCTAGATCCATTATGCAAAGATAATGAAGTATCACAGGATGCACCTGTTTTGCAAAAACATTTGGGGTTGTCTTTTCTTCTGGCCCTGTTGAGAGCTTTTCTCGTATTTGGCATTCAGCGCAAACACTCACCTTATCTCACCCTGCAGCATTAGTAGGATCCCTCTGCTTTTCCCTGCTGCGGTCTCGGCAGAGCTCCTTGACCCACTGTCCTAGTCCCCTTCCACCGAGAGATTCCCTTCTGGGGAGTCATCTGCCATGGAGAAGCAGCAGGAGAGAGCGGTAAAGGGTGTGTGGGCACAAAAGGCAATAGATTTGGTGCGTGCCCTGGGCAGAGCCTCGTTCAGCATCAGCTGTCCCCTCCATGTGAAGAAGGAGACAGTGACTTTAAGGATAGGGGAACCTGAACAAGGGTCCTCACAGGGGCAATGCCGCAGCCGTGCATGCTGCGGTAGCTCGCGGGCTGCAGCTTTACATTGGTGCTACATTCTTGTGGAAATTTAGTGCAAGTTTTGGCTGCCAGCCTGCTTGGCAGCCGAGCCCTCAGTCTTTCTGCCCCTCGGTTTACCTGTGCCCATAACACAAGGAGAGCAAAGGTCACTCCTTTTTGAACCCGCATACATGTGCAGGATGTTATTGCTCTCTTTAGGTGGGATAGGTCAGTGCATGGAGGATAAAGTTACTCTGGCTTTCTCTTTTCCCAGTTTATTTGGAACACTGGAGGGACAGGAATGCACTAATGCCCTGCACAATGTCTGAATTTAGCCTGATCTGGGAGTTATCCTGTAAACATTCCTGT